CTTGCACAGGCAGCAACAGCTAAATCTTGAACTACACACATGCACGTCAGCAGCACAGACTGGATGCAACTGACTGCAGCCAGGTTACTAGGGAAATGCAGTCTTTTACTTCAGCCATTCTGGGAGGGGCTCAGTGGGAGGTGGATTATTTGTGCCAGGTATAACCCCCACCTGGCTGTAAAGCAACTCCTGAGTGTGAATTGCATCACTGTGCCACGTGTTTGAAGGTACACAGACACAGGCACTCCTCACATGGGACGCAGACCAAAAATAGCTGTCAGTAAACCAGTAAGCAGCAGGCTTAAAACAGACACCTTTCTTGTTTTCCTGTGTTCAGTTTATAAACTGTGGTACTTGCTGTTGCAGAGCCCGAAATTACAACGGAATTTTCCTTGGTCTTGGGGGCTGGGGCTGCTGAGCCAACATACACAAGTGGCAGCTTCTGGCTCCAGGAGTGTGCTTTGCTATGGCTGGTGGCTGGGAAGGCAGAGCAGGCCCTGCTGTCTGCCCTCCCCTTTGGTTGCTGACGCTGAACTCACGCTCTCCACAGCAAACACTGAGGACTCTGTTTCACACTGAATTTCATTATTACACAGTTATGGAAAAAAAAAACCAAACCCACATTAAATCACTCTCTTAGCAAACATTTCTGCTCTGTTATCCTGCATGATGTGTAATGTGTTGCAAAAAAAAAAAAAAAACCTCCATTTTTTCCTCATTTCAGTCAAAAATTAATCACACGGCAATGATTAGCACTGCTCAGGCTGCTTTGTGACCCAACACAAGTGAATAAAAGGATACAAAGCATAAATTCAACAGCTTGCTTACCTTTTCACTTGGACTTGTAAATGCATTAGCAACACTAGAAGCAAAACCTACTTATATTAAAAAAAAGTATTCTGTGCCAAATACTCGGTAAACTTTAACTTACCAATGACACTATGCATATTTTTTGCAGGCTGTTGCCTGCCCCACCAACAAGCAAGAGCCACGTGGCTACACAAACTAAACAAAGTCTCTTCCTGCAACTAGTCAACAACAAGAAGCCATCCTGACGTTGATCGATTCTCTGGAGGAGCAATTACTACTTAACAGGCTTCCTGAGCAGCTTGATTATGTTCTGCTTCTGTCCAAGGCCTTGCTGACCATGCGGGTAATAATTTGATAACAAGAGAGCTTAATTAAATTAAGGGGCCATTTTCTACATCATAATATCTTTGTAGGTAAGAGATTTGATTTGCAGTACATACCCTTCCTTCTCTCTGCTGTCTGCATTTGTCTGGTTTACAAGCAAAAACAGAAAACATTACCCAACCTCCACTCAGAAAGACTTTCACATTTCATACAGCATTATCAAAAAGCAGCTTTGCTAAAAATAAATCTACATCTTGCCTCCCCCCCTCCTTTGCACAAGTGAGTTGTAGATCTTGCTCTCAAAGGCAGGGAGGGCTTTTTGTGTGTGTAAGGGTGAAGATAAGGCTGTGAGGCAGCGATCAACACATAGATCACACAGTTTTCAGCGCTCACTTTCTTTAGATAACAGGGTGCAGTTCAGTGTGCACAGTTTAACCTGCGTTGCTGACCTTGGGCAACCCCCAGCTACGTGCAAGCATCCTGCTCCTGCTGTGCCCCACAAGCACCGGGCCCTCAGAGAACAGGAGCCTTCCAGATATCCGAGCTGCAGCATAAAAAGCATTAGATGACATAATACTTCATTACAGGGGGAAAAAAAAAAAAAGAGGCATATAAACAAATGGAGGCTCTGACTGGTAACACTGGGAAAGCTTCAACTCACAGAAAGCTGTCGACAAAAGCTCTCCGGGGAAGGGGGGCGATTCACAGAGCTCCGTGCTGCTGTGCCGCAAAGGCGCTCTGTCATACAATAATTGGTCCTGACCACACCTAGTGCATTAGTCCTCGTGGGCTGCAAATACAACCTCATTACTCCTGGCTCCTGGATGAGCAGATCAGAAGGGGATCAAACTACAGCACAAGCCAGAAGCCAGAAATTCAAGGGACGGCGGCACAACAAAACCAGAGAGAAACAGGAACTTGTCGAAGCAGATCCCCTCATCTACCTGGGTAAGCAGTTTATGTCTTTGTCAGTATTTCTTTAGACAATTAAAAGTCGTGTAAAGACTATGAATAGGAAACTTTGAACAACTAGGAAACCACAGCTGGTTTTAAAATGTAAGCACTCCTGTGATATGCATACACCTGAGATTGGAAGGAAACATCTGATTGGTCTTCAATAAGACCAAAAGAGTGACTTAATTTTAATCAAAACGTGGATTTTTCATCACAAGTACTTCTTAAAAATATGTACCAAATTGGCAGGACAGGAATTCAATTTGCTTTTGCCGGCTATAGACTATTTAGAAGATGAGAATCTTTTCAGGTTAGCTTTATCTGAAATCTGGTTCTAAATTCCATTTATGTGCTTGACCAAGAGTGTGGATACCTTAGATCAGGCACAGCTTTGACCAAAATAACGTGACTCAGCAAGACAGGAGAATTTTTTAGACAGGTTTTCACTGCATTAAATCTAAGGAGTCAGCAACTTTCATGAAATGTTCAGATTTTATATTAAAGTAACAAACAAGCAACTTCTAAATCACCATGTACTATAACTTTAAAGTGCAGATAGAAGATGAATTCTATAACGTCTCACCCTACGTCTCCCATTTGAAGGTTATTTTTAAGCTGAGATGGATAGAAATATTTGCCTGTGCGAAGTTGCATTTAAGCCCCAGTTTTCTTTTCTCTTAAACAAAAGGCTCTGTTTGTGCCAGTATCTCCATTAAGACGCAATTATATCATTAAATATTAATGGTGGCTTCCTTGAAGGCATTGACCACTTTGATCAGAACACACTGTTGGTAATACGTCATCAGTGAATGCTTGGCATGTGAAGCTTACTGGATGCACAGCCACTGACAAGGGGGAAGGATACTGGGATCTAGCTGAACTGGGGCCACTGCTCTGTGCCTGCACAACAGAGTACACCATATGTGCATCTGTACTGTAATTTGCTTAAAAACCAGTCTGATTTAGAGACTTTGACCAGATCCCTAACCCCTTGTTAACACTGCACAGCTTGGTAACCCTGCAAAGACCCGAACAAGCTTGCACAAGTCTAATGTGACACTTCAGTAATGAACAACTTTTGTAAAAGGATGGGTGGCCTTTACCTCTCCTGAACACAACCACTTCTCCCTAAAGCTCCACCATCCTGCTGGGAAATACGTCATTCTATCCTTCTGCTTTTCCTTTGTACAGAGTGGGTAGGAGCACGGCTGCAGCCATCCCCAGACACCCTACCTGCACCACGTTGCTGCAGGGAACGATGCCGGACTCCTTTGCCATCCACTTCCTCAAGGTGCTGCGGGAGCTGCTGGCGTTTGTGCTGTTCAGCTACACCGTGCTGGTGGGAGCGCTCCTGCTGGCTGGCTGGACGACGTATTTCTTGGTGCTCAAATGACAACTTGTTCCCTGCTCCTGCAGTCCTGGGCTGCCCAGAAGCACCTGGCTCCACCGCACAGCTCATCCCACACATCTGCTCAGCGCACAGGATGGCAGCCCCTTCCTCCTGCACCAAATCTGCAAGCATTTTGTTCCTTTACCACCTCATCACAATCTTATTTTCTTATGTAAAAAAGAAAGATTAAAAGAAATACCATCTACATGAATGCACCATTCTGTGTTGCTCTTTCCAGTTCTGCTGCCTCCCAGGCATTGCCTTCCCAGCAGCTTTGCCCAGGGATTCCCTCCTCACCCCAGGGACCCACAGGAAAGGAAGGGAGGGCTGCAGCAATCCTGCACAAAGCTTCCCACAGTTCTGTGAGGTACACTGAGGGAGAGCAGCAAAACCACGTATCTACAGTGCTGCCATTTGGCATTGTAAAGCTCAGTGATTTTCAGTAAATACTTAAAATACAGGGGAAGCTTTAGGATGTGGCAGAGCTGCAGCCCTGCCTTGCTAAAACTGGACTATGTCAGCTGAGTCTCACAGAGAACAGATGGGAATTTCTGGTATACGCAGTGCAAACAGAATTAATTGATCTTATTAGGCCTTTCACGTGTGACTGTATAGGAAACCTTAACTGGAAACACTGGGGATTACCACAGCTGTAGATCTAGACATAGACAAAGCAGTACCACATACTCTGGAAAAGTAAAGATGAAACGGACCAGAGCGGGAGGGAACCGAGCGTGTGCGAACCGCGAGGGCTGAGCGCGGCGGGAACGTTCCCGCGCGGCGCCGAGGACCGCTGGTCGCCACACAGCGACCGTTACCCCATGACAGCACCTCGCGCCCTCCTCACGTGCCCGCCCTCCGCGCACGCGCCGTTCCGGGCCACCAACCCCCTAGCGTGACGTCACTTCCGGCGCACCGCCCACTCCCAAGATGGCGGCGCGGTCCTTCTGGCTGCGCGGTTGGCGGTCTCTCCTGAGGTACCGCGCTTATGGGCGGCCGGGCTGGGGCGGCGGTGCCCACCTGGGTTAGGAGCACGCAGCGTGGGAGGAAAACCGACCGGTTATTTTCAGAAAATAAAGGGAAATAATTCCGCTTTTAAACACGCTTTAGACCTTGATTGTCGGTGTTACCCGGTGTTAGCGATGCGTTGGCACCCGGTGAGACAAACAGTCGCTGTGCCCAGCTGTGCTGTTCCTTGCCTTCATACCTCAGCATCGTGACGATAACCGGCGTGCCCATCGGCTGTGATTGCAGCACCGTTCTGGGTCACGCACCCAGCTGCTGCAGATCGTCCCTGCTCTGTTATTGCTGTAATTGCTGTAACCGCTCGCTCTGTTTCTCGCACTCCAGGCTCGGCCGCCCCGCGCTGGCCAGCAGCAGCAGGCGCTGCCTTCCTGGTGGGGCCGGGCGGTGGCGCGGCGCGGTGGGCGCAGGGCTGGGAGCTGCGCTGTGTGCTGTCCCGGTCGTGGAGGTAAGGGAGCTCCGGTGACGGATGTGCGGCCCTGTGTGTTAGAAAGCCTTCCTTATATGTCCCAAATACTCAAAAACTTAGCATTTTATAAGCTGGTACTTACGCTTTCCTTTGTACCTTCTTGGTTCTGCCTTAGGGATCACAGCTGTTGATGCCTTGCAGTTGTTAAAGAAATGAGAAAGACAGTGTTTACATTCAGTAACAAATTTGCAGGAAAAAAATAAGGCCTTGTTTTACAGAGAAATTCGTACAAGTATTTTGCTCTAGGCTGTCCAGCCTTGTGATTAGCAGTGGTGCTTTTTCTTATCATTATTAGTTACCAATAATGTATAAATGGAAGTCAGTGTAATGATAATGCAAACTTGTTGTATTTCAGAAACAGAACTCAGCTTCTCTCAGTAACGATGCCTTGATTAAGAGAGCCGTTTGTTTGGTAACAGACAGTACTTCCACTCTCCTCTCTCAAACAACATACGCACTGATTGAAGCACTGACAGAGTATACAAAGGTAAGATGAGAGATTATGCGCTTTGATTTTCGGGTCCCTGGGAAATTCTGGAGTGGCTCTCACTATTGTCTTACTACACTAAATGTTAAAGTTATTTTTAGGTTTGTTAGACCTTTCCTCTGATCTTGAACTTAAGTTGAAGGGACTTGTGTTTCAGAACTGGGGCTGAAGAAAATCAGACCAGTTACTTGGAGCAGAACAGAAGGGCAGCTATCAGATTTCTGCACATTGAGTACGTAGGATATGCTGCCCTATATTTTATTTATTCTCTGTGCCTATTTCTAGGTCCATAAATTTGAGTTTCATCAGAAGAATGGAATAAGCCATACTTAAACTTGAAACAACAAGATACAATTTTAATTTTAGAAAGAAGCGCTAATTTGAAAGGAGTATTTGCATTCCTTCCTTATCAATTTCACAAGTATTATTGCCTCATTGCTATGGCAAGTATATGAAGAATAGTACTTTGGCCCTGTGGTAGGCAGACAGCAAATTGTATCGGTATCTCCAAAATTTCCATGGGCTAATGTACTTTTACATATTTCTGTTTTTCTCAGTACAAATATATTTCTGTGGTACTGCAAGGAACTGTTCTAGCATAGGTAGGAAGCAGTGGGCTTTCAGAGTAGGAAATCAGAGTGGTTGCATGCTTTGAATCCCAAGAAGCCCATGATGATGTGCAATCTTGGAGCATCAAAGTTCTGGTGCTCGAGTCAGAGTATACTCCTTGCTTTTTTCAACATGTTTAACAGCAAACTTAAGAGCAAAGCACCTTGGGAAGTATTCAACGATTTTGTTACCCACTGCATATACTGGAGATTAAATACAGCCAGGTTAGTTCATTTGCTTTCTATGACTCATTAACACCAGCTAACAGTGAGCCAACATCTATAGATTTTCACGTAACTGTGTGAAATGATCCCTTTGCAGGCAGTTTATACGTTGGTGTCTCTCTACAAGCAATACACAAATCTTCTTGGGAAGATGAACTCAGACGAAGTGGATGCAATCTGGCAGGTGGTAATAGGAGCCAGAGTTGATGTAAGCCTTCATCTCCCTTCAGTTGTTACCGCAAAACAGTCAATCAGGAAACTCTCTAAGTCTTAAGTTGGAGTGTTACAAAGTAGGAATTCTTTACTAACAGCACTGGGTGCGTGGCAGATACTGTCCTTCCCATATGTTGCACAAAAAGGCCTTTAGTTGATACACGTTCAGAGGTCTTCCTGGAGGGGCATGCATATTCAATGCAAAGAGTCCTGGAACCGTATCTGTTCACAGTGTCTGGTGGAACCTCCCCTAACTATTCCATACAAAGTCTCCTGGCACATGCCTTATCCATTCCATACAAAGACACAGACCCTTCCCATTTTCTAAACAAACTACAAGGTTGTCCTTTGAGGAACTTACCTAGCTGCAACTTGTATCACAGTCAGCAATTTGCCTCTTCAGCTTTTCTCAGAAAGCTGTACTGTCACTTGCTCACCTTTTCACAGAGGTACGGTTTGGAACAGCATTCAGATATTCTCATATCAAATTGGATAATCATTTTACTCCTAGATGACAACAAAACAGCAAGAATACCTAAAGCTAGAATCCAGCTGGATGACAGCATTACGTCTTTCAGAGATGGCAGCAGAAGCTGCGTATCAGTCAGGTATGCTCAAGCAGAAATACTGAGAATCTTTCACTTAACATGTAGGCAGTATTTATTCTATGAGAATGGAAAAAGAGAGGGAATACAAATTCCAATAATGTACCAATTTAGAATTAATGCTGGTTGTTAGCAGTGCTAAGAACTTACTTTGTTGGCTACAGCTCTAGTACAGATGTCCTGGGAACCAGGGCTGGAAACTTCATGTATTGTTTATATTGATAGGAACCATGCCAGAAAATATTTGACAAAGTGTTATTTTCAAATGCAGTGCTCAGACGTGCCTCAATGCCTGGAGCCTAGCTGGTGCCCCTAGCTAGATCCTCTTTTACTGAAGAGTGAAAATATTTACCTTTCACTCAGTTATGATACAAATTTTGTTTTCTCCCTACATAAAAGCTTTCACAAAAGTGTGCAGAGACTTGATAGCTCTGAGATTGAGCTATGGACTGACTTAGGGCAGATCAGAAAATATTGGGGCAGAGAAAGAAGGAAAACAGTAAATACATAGGGACAGCCTACCTGTGTAGGTGCGATTTCCTGATGAAACTTGAAAAAGATGTAGAATCTGTAGGAGCAGAGAGTTTCCACGTTCAGCAGCGTCTCAGATGATGGTCGGTTCGACTACTGCACAAGAACCAAAAGTGCCTGCGGCAATGAGTGGGCAGGGCTTCGTTTTCAAGCCCGGCAGCACAAGCTGATCAGCCTGATTGGATCCTGGTTGAAACCTGGCTGGGAGGGAAGAATTAGGAGGGCACAAAAATCTTCACGTAGGGTATTGGTTAAGGTAAATCAACAGTAAATGCGTTTAGCATTAATACAGCCCAAGAACCATCAAAACACTTAGCAAAGCAGGTGAGAACTACAGACATTTCCTTCCTTAATTGAAGGTTTGCTCAGTTCTCTTCTAACGCTGTATATTTAAATGACTGCTTCTCAGGTGCAGATCAAGCCTCGGTGACAGCTCAAAGCCACATCCAGCTAATCAAATCACAGGTGCAAGAAGTACGGCAGCTGTCCCAGAAGGCGGAGACCAAGTTAGCTGAAGCTCAAACAGAGGAGCTCCTGAAAGCTCAAGGAGAGGAATCTTCGTTGCCTCAGGGTACTTTAGGAAGTACAGATGCAGGTGAGGACCCTTATCTTCGGGAAGACTGACATGAACTTAAGTGTCATTTTAGAATATGTGAGAATCAATCAGAAATTGAAGGGTTCCAAACTTTTAAGTGTTGGATAGCAGGAAACCTCTGAAATAAGCCTGTGATTCCATTTCCACACCTTACCCTCAGATAGGCTTGCTTGACGGATCAAGACAATTCCAAGAATCTGAAAGGCCTTGACTGTGTTTATAATTATGGATTCAGTTATTTAAGTGTTTAACTATGCAAATGTGTAAATTGCTATCAACGATAGCGTGTTAATTTTGTCTGCTGGGAAGATCCTAGCAGTGGTTTGGTATGTTTGTGAGAGCTCCCTAACGTAGAGCCTAAGTAGGTATCAACCAAAGAAGTGTATTTAAAAGTTACTGGTTTTAACCTGTATAGTAAATGATGTCTGTTAGTAGATATCTCTATTAAATTGGGCAAATTCATTTCATTCCAAATGTTACCATAGATAAAAGATTAAGTGCTGTTTTCAGTTTTGACTTAAAAGCTTGTAACAGAGTTGAGTCTGATAGCTATATCTAATTGCACTTAATTGCAGTCAGGGGAATTGTTTGCTGTAGAGCTGAAAACCTGCTATGGAGTTACCCAAGTTCCTCTTAGAGAAGTTTTGCACAATTCAGTATGACAGCCTCTTTCACCCAGGAGCCAGTACTTGTAATATATCTGCCTTCCCCGGAAGGAAGAGATTTGATTTTCACGGCATTGTGGTTACAAAGTAGTTGTGGAAACTGCTACAGATTTTATAAAGCAGTCAACAAAAGTGAGTTCTGCATATTTGAGTGCTTTCCAGCAAAAGTTTCAAAAAAACGATCTTCATTCTCTCTTTCTGTAACCTTAGTGTTTCACTACAGACTTCAAAACCACAGGTATCTTCCGTTGTGTTCATTTTCTAACTTAACAGCTCAACGTGAAATTTGCAGTGTTAACTGTACAAACAATAAAACTTCAGCTGAGATTGCTGTGTAGAATAGCGTTGATGAGATAGAACTTTATCAGTGTTGGTTGGACTCAGTTAATCCCCATTCATCAGTTTTTCTGAGAAGGCACACAATCCTAAGACTTTGCACTGCACGTTAACATCAGATGCACTACATCTGTGTTGAGGTTGCTGTTACTGAGTTCTGCTTGACGAGGTATTTTTTCAGCTGTAACATGAGCCTTTGTCTCATTTTGTCTGCCTTTGAACAACTGCAATCTCAGCTGCACACCATTGTACACTTACAGATTAAAAAGTAAAAGAGTTTTTAAAAACAAACAAACAAAACAACCACCCTTTCTTTGCTCCTGCTCCTGACTGGATGCTGCAGTATCTAAGGAGGATGGTAGAGTTTGGAATCAAAGCTCCTAGGAAAATGCTGATGTCTGCTGTGCCAGTAGGCAGAGGGTCCCAAAGGAGGCTCAGGGCCAAGCATTTGGAAGATCTCTAATACCTTGAGACTATCAGTTGTAAATATGACACAGCCACACCCTTAAGAGCTAACTGCAGCTTCAGGTCAGCCTTCTAACCACAGCTGCTCTTATTTGCTCTGTGCAGCAGTTTAAGAACTGCCAATCCACTGCCTGAAACGTGTGTGCAGGTTGTGTAGCAGTCAGGATGCTGCAGTAACTCTGATACTTCCGCAGGGGTTTGGCTTAAGGGAGATGAACATCAACCCACCTATTCCTCCCCTTGCAGAGCCTGCCCCACCCCCCTCTTGCCCACTTCTTGTTTTACATTATGACCCAGACTTTACGCACCTCAGACTTGCGGATGTGGAAGTAGCAAGTCAGCTCAAATCAGAAAGAGAAACAGATTCATGAGTGGCTTGACATTACCTCCAAAATGGAGTGGAAAAAGCCCCAAACCTTCAGTGAGAAGTGAGTTACACATCAGGAATTAACCAACGCACTTAAGCCCAGAAGAGCCACAACATCACTCACTGCATGATGTTACTGAGTTTGCGTTTGGAATCATTTAGGGGAACAGAAAAAAGCTGCCACAGCAGTTCACATCATACCAAACTGCTCTGTCACATCCCTTCTCTGGAACAAGCAGTACACAGAAAACAGAGCTGAGAAACCAAGTTTTGCTGCCTGATACTCAACCTTGTTTACAAAGCCAATTAATCTGAAGCTACTTGTAGACAGCATCTCAGACAATACTGCTTGGGCTAGCAGCTTGTTCAAGAGCTTGCTGAGGATGGACACAGGTCGCCCTTGATTTCCTCAGACACACCTACTGACACCTAGCAGAAGCAGCTTACACTGGGGTTGCAACTCATGCAATAAGAGCCTGGGTCACACAGTAAGCTAAATTAAAACTACACCTGGTGCTTTAAGAAGCTAAGGCAGCAAAGAAAATACACTATTAAGCAAGAACTAACAGCATTGCACCCCACACTGGCAGCCAGCCTCCACAGGATGCATGTCACATCTCTGGGCTAGGGGTGTCTTCAGGTCTCTAAGGAGCATAAACAAGGAATTCCTCCTTGTAGCACTACGCAGGCAGCTCTGAAAACTCCAGCTCGCATTTGGTGACAGTGAACACAAGACAGCTATGAGCAGCACAACACAAAACACTCTGATTTCTGTAATTGTACACTTCCTCTTTTTCCTTAGATTTTTTCTAAAGCTTCCAGGTCACTGCCAGCTCACACACAGCACGACACCCTAGAGCTGAGAAGCTTCATAGAAGCATAAGCAAGACTTAGCTTCAATTTAATCATTTCTCAGATTAATTACTCAGAGCACTCAGCTGAGTTGCTGATTCCATATTTGTACATCATGTCTGGACTGGGGGGGTGAGAACAGAGGAGGATGTGGCAAGTTTCCATTTCCACATAACCCCATTCTCTTTAATATTGATGGCTCCTTTCTGCACATACCCAGTGCCAGATGTCAGCCTCTTTTTGCTTGTAGTTCTTTCAGCTTTCAGGAGACACGCGAATATTCCCATTAAAACATTTTCAAAACTGTATTTTATTTATATTCAACATTACAGAACCAAACAACCCAAATAAATCCCAAACACCTCCACACAGCCTGAAAAGCTGCAGCCACTGTGCTTTACTACCACTCAGGACACACTTCTTTGAAACCCAATCAGAAAGTGTGCAAAAGTTTCCAGTGCAAGTCAGCCTGAAGTTAACTTCTGTAACATCAAACGGCTCGAGTTGGAGCCCAGTCCCTCACATCACTGGGTGATCACTGTGCTGTGTTAAGGCAAAATGTTTCCAAGCCTTGCTTTCCTTTTCCCACTCCTTTCCCTTTCTCCTGCTGTCCTGTAGGACCTGCAGGATTGCTGATCTGGGACAGTAGATTTGCACTGCAGTGCACACAGCAGCATACGCTGGCCTCTGTTCTACCCTTGCCTTGATTTCAAAAGATTAATTTCAAGTACACTCACTCATTAGTCATCACGAGCTTCCCTACAAGAGAACAAATTAGACACCAGTCTCAGTGTTGTGAGCCTCCAGTGGAGGTGGCACTTCATTCACGTCACCTGTGGCAGCTATGGCTCACCCAGGTTCCAGCACGGCCAGGAGGAAGCAAGCCAAGTTCCTGTGCTGCATCTCCAACCTATGAGCCCTTCCCATGACAATTCAACCACCTCAGTAACCCACTGACAGAAAAAGACCAACTGCAAAACAAAACCCCATGGCTCAAGTATAACCTGTTAGTAGAAAACACTTCTACCACAACCTGATTTCTAGTTTAAGTACCCTGTATCTGTCAACAGCCAGCTGCCGCTGTGCTCAGCCATAGCTTCACTTCCAGCCCCTTCTGTGGGAGTGTGTTACTGACACCGCACACCTAATGCTGTCATCCCTCACCAGCGTCCACATGATCCACATCTCGGTTGGGTTTAGTTTGTGCACAACCATCAGTTCCTTGTACAAGCATGGATCGAAAGAATTAAAAGGTCTCTGGATCCCAAAAGTCTTAAAGCCAGCATGGTTCATTGGGACCACTGCCATCTTTGCCAGACACATTCCCACAAAGACATCATCTATGGGGAAGAGCTCCACGCCCTCTGCGGTGCTCTGGAGGCGTTGTACTGTCGTTCTGGACATCACGTAGCCCCCTCCGCCTGCATACAGAGGGTAGAAGGAAGCTCTGTACATGGACTCGGGTACAAAGTACTTGATTTTTGTGTTCCTGATGGGCCGGGCGTTAGCGATCACATCTCCAACAAACAGATCCTGTTCAGGTTTCAAATCCCGGAGAAACTCCACAATATTGTAAGTGTTGACAAAGACATCATCGTCGCCCTTCAGCACAAACCTGGCCTTCAGACAGTCCTTCACGAACCAGCGGAGGAAATGCAGCTCCTTGAGGGTCAAATTGAAGAAGTTGTCAACAAAATCCCACTGCACGATGTCATCAAACTCTTGGCTCTCATAAGCCAGCAGCTGGCGCAGTGGCTGCACCTGGTTTTTGGCCTCCGAGCGCCCCAGAAGGAACACCAGCCTGACGCGCCTGCCGCCGATGGAGACCTCCTTGCCCCACGTGTTCCTGATTGCCACCCGCCGTTCTATATTGACTGGGGCAGACTTGATGGCCAGCAGGAGGAAGGTCTCTTGGCTACACCTGGAAGGCTTCAGCAGGATGGAGAAGTTTCGGCAGTGCCTGTAAGTCAGGAAGACGCGGTGAAGCTCTGGGAGGGAGACGGAAGAATTGGCAACAGCCAAGTCAGGCAAACAGTTGCTGGGTTCAGCACTGCCCAAAACCAAAGGCTTGGGATCTGCTATATCCACCTTCTGGTCCTCTGGTGACGTTAGCAGCTTAGTTTCTCTCCTGATGTAAAAAAGAGATGCCAGCAGCGTGACTGAAAAGGCAGAAAGTGCAAGGCTTTTAATCCTGGGATACATTGCAACCTCTGGTGCAGAATGCAGGCCCTGTCCGAGTGAGGAGAGAGAAGCATTTAACAGTGAAACCGAGCCAACTTACACTTTCCATTTCCCATCCTAGAGCACCCATGCCTGCAGCCGCAGCCCTCCGCAGGCGGAGCGGAGCACACGATCCCAGCAAAGGACAGCGAAACGCTGAAATGCCGCAGCCGGTGCCGCAGGGACCACTCCCCACCGTTCCCATCCCGAATTTTCTGGGTCTTACTGCGAATTCGGAGCAGGGGCAGCAGCAGCGAGGCGCTGCCGGCCAGGACACGAGCGGCGAGCCGGGCTCCGGAGCTGTTGGTCAGGGAGAGCACGGCTCTGCTGGGAGCAGCGCGCCGCGGCTCTGCTCTGTCCGCCCCGGCCGGTCCCGCAGCCGCACCGACACTGAGAACCGCACGGCCACTTTCCGCTCGCAGCCGCGCAGAGCAGCCCAGGAGCTCCGGCCCGCCCCAGGATCCGCCCCCCGGCCCGCCCCGGGATCCGCCGCCTCCGAACGCCCCGATCCCCGCACACACAGCACGCTGCAGCCCAGATGAATGCGCACACCGTGCCCCCATCCTCGCGCGCACACACACAGCACTGCACCTCAAGCCTCCTAGCGCACAACGCAGATCGCACCCCAGCCTCCCCACAGCCGCACCTCACACCCACGTCCCTCCCCGCCCACCGCCTGCAGCTCCCGCAGGAGCCCCCCCGCCATTCTCCATCCCCATTGATTCAGCCAAACCAGCAGCATGGCAGCATCCCTGCGGGTTTTATTTCACTGACCTCTGCTGCTCGCTCTTTGGCTACGGACGCATCACTGAGCTTTCCCTGCAGCCTCGGTCATGCTCTCCCCTTGCTGGGTGCCGGCCGCGGGCCATCGAAGCAGCTGCATCTGGAATTCAACTGTCAGCGGCACCGGCTGCATCCCACATCCCTCCTCCTCCTCCTCCTCAGCAGAACGTCCGTTTTTTCTCTTTCCTGTGGAAAGCAGTAAATCAGTCTCTGTCTTTGTAGCCTGAAAAGCAGCTGTGTGCATGGGGTATGCCCACCAAGTTAGCACTCACGGCGGGGCCCTGAGGGAAAAGCTATTTGAATACGACTTAGCATAATAAGCATCTTTAAGAAGGCAATCAATCTCCTGCAATTTTGCTTTTTGTTGCAAAAATCGCTCTGTAATTTCTAAGAAAAAAAGAGAGATGGGACTAAATCATTCCATGGGTTAAAGTGAGACCTACGTGAGACTACTTCCGAAGACATCCTTCAATGCCCGGGCAAATGGTTTGCTCGAGACAAAGCTCCCTGCCTTCCCTCTTTGAGCTGCCTGGAAGAGATCCCAATGTCCCTAAAGGGATTTATTATTCGTGTGCATGTGCCTGCGGAGGGATGCAAATCAGCCTCAGCTCTGGGCTGGGAGGCTGCCCAGTGCCCCGCTGCTGCATTTCCAGGGGGATTGGAGTTGGACTCGATGATCTCTGGAGGTCCCTTCCAACGCCTACAATTCTGTGATTAATCCACAGCAGTTTGGTGGGGAACGAGCACCAAAGGAGCACCAAAGGAACCAAAGGACACGGGGCGGTTTGGTGACTCACAACACACCAAGCAGCCCACCTGCCCCCACAGCCTTGTGGTTGGAGTGATGCATGAGTCACAGCAAAGCTCACAGCCACGGGGGCCATCAGCACTGGGGTACTGAGCTGCGGGTTCAACAGATTTTGAGGCACTCTGAAAAATGCACTCAGTGGCCATCGCCAACCTGCACCAGGGAACTGTGACTCCAAATTAACCTGGAGTCTGACCACTCGGTGTTTCCTGTATCAGCAGCTGCTCTCTGTGCTGGCCATGCAACCCCCAACACACAGGGGGTTTGTTCCTCAAGCTAGAAGGAAGGGCTGCTGCATGCACACAACACAGGCACTCATGTGGAACAGAAGAAAAAAGCATCGGTCGCATGACAGCATCTCACTACTTCAGCTGCAATTTGAGCACGTATTGCAAATGAGCACTGCATGATGGGGAACCAGCACAGTGATGATCTTCTTTTAGGCAGCCCTCCTTGACCCACGAGCGACTTGTCAGCATCTCTCTCAGCCATCTCATCCTTCTCAAAATTCCTCCTGCTCCTGCACAGGTGTGCTGGTGCTGCTGTTTCTGTAGCAAAAAAATAAATCCCTGCAAGAGGCAGAGCGAGGTCTATATCCAGCAGCCCAAGCAATGTTGGTGACAGAACAACCATGAGCTCTGCACCAAGGAGCAGGGGACGGGTTGCCTCTTTGAGTGTGACAGCAGAGTGGAGTCTATTCCTGGCCAGGCCACGGCACCCAGGGCTCTCTGTGCATTTCATCTCTCAACTAGAAAGAACAATAATCCTCTTTGCAAAGTGTTCTGTGACATAAGTTGGGAAAGGATGAGGACCTGATTGTGTATCCCAGACATCACCCCTCCAGCAGCCCGCACCACTCCAGGCCACTGGCTGCTTTTGGCAGCTGAAATAACAGGCAGCAAATATCTCACCCCACAACCTGCCTTGCCCTGTTCCCTGGCTCACGGAGCCATGAGTGTTCATTGCTCCCAGGACGCAGGCCAGCAGCCCACCCTCAGTGCGTGCCCAGACACAACAAGGTCCCCGGGTGTGTGCCTAACCTTCCTGTCCCACAGCATCAATGGCAGCATTCACAGCCAGGGCTCAGGACATGAGTTAGTGCCCAGCTCCGCAGAGCTGGCTGCAGGACTGGGCACTGCTGCTGTTTGCTCACACATACTGCTCTGCCCAGCCAGCCCTCGGTCACCTTTGGCAGGCGCTGTGGCTTTCTGGCTTTTCTTCTTTGCTTTTGTTTTTTTGCTCTTGTCTTTGCCTTTTTTCTTGTCCTGTGGAGACAGACATTTCCACAGTCAGGCGGTGTCGAAATTCGCTGCCCTCATTCAATCTTGTGACAGCCATTGCTGCTTGGGTTCTGTCACCGGCATTCAAACGGCTGAAGAAAGGCATGACGAAGCAGGAACATAGCAGAAGAGATGCTTGGAGAAGAGAAGGGGCTCCAGGAAACAGCAAGTCTCAGAACAGCTGCTGTGTGTTGTTGTTTTGAGAGAAAGAGCATCGGAAGAAGCAAAAGTTTTCATTTTGGATGGAAAAATAGAGTCATCTGTTTTCTTAACACAGGCCCATGAAAAATAATAGTACTTACTGCTAATATAACATTAAATAACAGTGCCTACATGGATAGGTGTTTCTCCAGCAAGGTTATTTCAGGAGGATTTCATGGAGAAGGGAGCTGAGGGATGGATGTGAGGATGCTGCAGGGCAGGATGTGCTGAGCCCCTTCCTCAGCCACGTCTCCCTGCCCCCTAGGACAGCTCCTTACCAGCTTCTCCTCCTGATTCGGTGACTGCAGCAGCTGCTCGGTGATGAGGATCCCGAAGTCACACACAGTTGCCACCACTGTCTCAGTGGCCAGCAAGGCATCCAGGGCCACCCTCTCAGAGCCCAGGATCCTCTGAATGGGTGGGTCACTGCGAAGCTCACGTGGCTTCTCCTTCTTCTTCTTTTTCTTCTGCTTGTCTCTGGGCCCAGGACCCTGCAGGACACCAGTACAGGCACAAGTGTCAGCTGAGCATTGGGTCCCTTTATCAGACAGAAAGCAATTCCATCCCAGCCCCTTGCCCACATATCTACATCCAAAGATGCATATTAATAGTTGCTGCCTTCTTTCCATAGCACAAGAAACCTTGGCTAGAGGTATAGGATGGAGGAAAACCATCCCACCCAAAACTGACACAGGAGAAGGTCTGTCCTTCCCTCATCACTATTCCTACAGGTCAGATGGTATTTGGACATTGCTCCCTCCCAGCATCCTACCTTGGCGCTGTCCTTCTTTAGCTCCCGTTTTTCCTTCCCACTTTTTACTGCATTTTCCTCGGAGTCAGCACTGACGGGCCACCAGAGCACCTGCAGGAGAGAGGTTCTGCAGGACTGCACAATGCTGCCTCCTAGAGGGAGTGCAGTCTGCCTTCTAATGCCACTGCCGGTTCCCTCGGCAGCAATTTCTCCTCCCTGTCCCTCTCACCAGACCTTCCACGTGCCCACCTTCTCCTCCACTACCGAGACAATCGTTCCAGCTCGCAGGTAGTCCTTCAGCCCCACTAAGTCCTTGGCAGTGTGCTCTTTTCTGTAGCTGCAGTCAATTGTTTCTGCCCAGGGCTCTCCAGGGGTGACAAAAACCTTTGCTGTGCAAAGACAAAGATTTTTGAAGAGAGACCTTTACTTCCTGAGGACAGGAATGGCTCCAGGACAACACCAATGCCAATTCATTATCCATCAACCTCAGTAACAGCCTAGCTGTGGCTGATACCACAAGGGATGCACTGATGCCACATTTCTAGAAAAGCCATAAACTACCCTGGCCAGGGGATGTAGGATTTGCAATTCCTCATTACCAGTATGTGCAGCAGGGTCCTCCATGGCTGCACACTCCTGCTGGCCCTTTGTTTCCCTCAAGTCCCATGCAGAGTTGTCCACATCCAGAGTGGCCACCACAGGACTCTGATGAATTTTTACCTGGAACAGAGATGTTCCCTCTTGGCAGAGCTTGTCTGGTTGTGCTTGCATCAGGCTCAAAGACAGCATGCCTCTGAAATTCCATTCCCCAGCCCATTCCAGCCACCAGGAGAAAGGGCAGAGAAAGGTGAGCTGCACAGTGGCACCAGTATCGGAGAGTGGTCTGCAGCACCCAGCAGTAGGAGAGCTGTAAATGCTCTTCCATGTGCAGAACAGTGCTCCCCAGAAAAGACAGGGAACGTGGTCAGCACAGATTGGTGCTGCTGGATGTGGCCAGGTGTGAATTCTGTTCTTAGCACTACAGTTGCCCATGGTAGTTCATTATGAATGGTCTCGCTCTGCATTCTGGAGATGCCCACCACCGTGGCCTGCCAGTGCCTATTGCTTTCAGGAGCTCAGTTAAGCACCAACCTCAGTGCCACCATCCTCAGCCTCCTCTGCTGCAAACTCGTAGGTCACACAGTAGCTGTAGGTGATCACTGGTGCCTCAGACCCAATCTCCAGCTCCTGGAGTGTGCTAGGATCAGGAACTCCCTTGATTTTCCCAATGCTCACAACCACTCGTGCTTCATTTTTTATCAGCTCTGAAGGGAAAACAACCCTGCTTAGGAGGAAGAAAAGCACAGAACAAGCAGAAACATCCAGGATGTCAAATCCTACTGCCTAGCGTAACTCCCTGCCTTCCTTTGCAAACGCTGTGACAAGCCACAGCCACATGAGGTCACTCCAAAGCCACACACAACATCTGGCTCAGTGCTTTGGCTCTTGTTTAACATTTTTGACTCAATAACGCACTACCAGTGCGTAACATCATCAAGTGGGGGGCCATCAAGGCCTTCCCACCCACTGAAGCCCCCTGCCCTTGCCCCTGCCTGGGATTTGCCGCATGCAAAGGTGGCACCGATTTGTGCTGGCAGTGCAACACGAGAGCACATTCCCAGATGTTCTTTCAGTAGCTCAAGAAGGAAACACACAGTGTGAAACCAGACAGGTCTAGAAAGCAAAGACAGGGGCAGGCAATGACACTGAGCCAGTGCTACAGAAACCAGACTGGATTGTTCACACCCTGCTCCAGACCTGCCTTGGGTGAGCACTTCCTTATGACAGACTTCCTCCTCCAGCCTCTTCTCTGCAGGGCCAGAAGAACCAGAGGGAATCAGCTGGCATAGAGACCCTGCCCACAGCCATCCCCTTCTTGCTGAGCTTTCCACAATGAGACACACGTGCCAAATCCCTGGATTGCGAGGATCCTGGATGCACAAACCAGGGCAGATTTTGATCCAACGTAGTAATGGTTCACACAACCCTCACTTATCTTCCTGTCACACAATTAGCATGAAAACTTTTTTAATCTTGTACTTGGTACGTTTCAGATAGCAGATAACTGATTCTCACTGTCTTTTGCTACATTTGCAGCATTGCTGCCTTCATTGCACTGATGGGGTAAAAAAAAGACTCAGAGAAAGATCTTTTGAAGACAGGCAATCCTGGATGCAGTAAGTCCTGAGGTCTCCTAGCTCCACCATGATGAAGCCACTTCCTGAATGTTGGGTTCAGCACCAGTAGGTTTAAGATAAAGGCTCACCTGGCTGCTTCGATAAGCCACGGAACTGGTACCTCTCGTCGAGCCCTATGTGGATGTCATCAAGGAAGGAAAGCTTGGGCAGGCTGTCCACAACGAAGCCTCTGTAAGCGGGAATGAGAGCCAGTGGGTTCCCTTGGAGCACCAGGGTGCGGAGCTTCTTCAGACTGGACAGCTGGGAGACCAGCCCAAACAGATCCGTTAGATTATTAAAGCTCAGGTCAAGCGAGATGAGATTTGGCCTGAAGGAGAAAATCCATTAATGAGGGTAGGCAAACAACACCCCTCTGAGGATCAAGGAAAGAAACAGAAATCGTGATTCCTCCACCTAAGAACCTGCAGTGGCACAAACTGAGTCAAACTGGAGAATGCACCAGCAGCCAATTCCAAATTCCTGAGCCACACATTCCACTGCCAGTCTGCCCCATAATTAAGCCTCTTTTTACTCTAGCATCCATTAACCACCCCACCACATCAGTCAGTGATACAGCCTAAGTTTTAGGCCCTTCCTCAGGGAGGACTCCCAGCAGGGCCTTTGGGAAGAGCATGGGAAAAAGGAAATGCATAGAAACATAGGAACTGCGCCGAACAGGGTGCTGAGGGGCTGTAATTTCTTAATGCAGGCCCCTGAATGGCTGGAGGTCATCTGTTCACATCTGCTCACATGCCTTCAGGAGCACACATCTGGCTGTGGCATTACCAGAAGTCTGCAGTGAGGTGTTTGTCTTGCAAAGGGCCATGCAGCCTGTTGTATCCCAGCCCCAAGTGCTGCAGCTCTGGAGGAGGTTGAGCACACAGACCCTGCAGATCAGACACGGCATTGCAGCAGAGCTCCAGGACCTGCCCAGAATAGATTGAACAACAAACACCCTTTGGAACGATCTGTCTTGAGCTGCTCAACTTGTGTGGCATTCCCAGGTGGGACCCTTCTCCCCATCCCACCATCACACGGCACTGCTTGCTCACCTTCAGTGTTCGGGGCAGGTTGGCTGAGGTGATCCTGCTGATCTTGTTGGCACTGAGTATGAGCTCTTCCAGGTGCTGTAACTGCAACAGTTCCTCATCGACTTCCTCCACCTGCCAAGAGGTAGGTTTGGTTGCAGTGTCCCAGAGACATCTCATGCCACCTAAGCTGAACTGACAGATACGTAGTGCTGATCCACACAAGTGTGTAACACAGGTTAGTGCATAACAAACTGAGCAGGGAAGCCAGAAGCTCTACTCCAGCTGCAATAAAAGAATCTGAGGAGACCCTGGGTTGGGGAAACTGTTTTTCCCAAGATGGTTTCCCTTTCAGTAGGAAAACACGGCTTCCTGGCCTGGAGACAGGCAGTGCTGTGCGCACCAGCCCATCCCTGTCTGCCATCCCGCTGTACTTACTTACATCCTTGCCAACAATCCGCAGGGACCTGAAGAGCTGGAGAACACGGGTGCCGCAGGTGAGCTGGGGAGCCAGCACTGCCACATGGCGCAGGCGCTGGTCCTGGGGGCTGCAGCCTGGTGGCAGGGCCCAGGGGCTGCACGGGTCCTGCAGCAGCTCCAGCAGCGCCTCAGGGCTCTCCTCATCCAGCAGCCTCTCTTCCTCCTGCCCTGAGGAGCCTGCATACGTGACAAAGCGGGACTTGTTCTGCAGAGAGTGGAGAAACAGTTAGCGCCTTGCAGAACCCCTCCAGATGCTCCTTGTCCCGCAGCCGTGCCCCCCAGCCCCTACCCAGCTGCCCAGGCCGCAGGGGAAGTCCCGCAGGCCCAGGCGCCGCAGGTGTTTCTGAAAAGCAGCCGAGAGGCTGTGAGGGCCGGGCGCTGCCATGCAGGAATTCTCTGGCTCTTGGCAACGCGTCCCGTCGCTAGGAAATGACACAGACACGGATGTCCTGGGCACTGCGGACTGCGCTCTGTGGGGCTGCAAGCTGGGTAGAAATCCCAGGCTTTGAGGGACTCCTCCAGGCTGTGGGGGCTGCAGCCCAGCAAGAAAAGAGCAGGAGGCATGCGTGGGCTGCAGCATCACCCCGTTCCCCGGCCGAGGACCTGAGACATGGCATTTGCCATTTCACTTATCTATATCCTGAGAGTCACTCGAGTTTCAGGGAGGAAGCAGTCGTGTCCATGCAGCAGTCATGCTGCAAGCTGTAAAAGCACCTTATTTGTTTGTGTGGAGGGCACTGATGCCACTGCAGCACAAGGTCATCGGAAAACCGAGTTCATGGCTAAAAGTACTGCTTGGAAAAAGCAGCTGCCCCTCGGGACAAAAGCCCCAGCTCTGTCTGAGGTCAGATTCAGGTCTCTGCACTCAAGAGGATTCTTTGTTTTTTCCAGTGATAGGTGTGCAGGTGACGGCAACAGATTCCACTCTGGGGAGTGTTCAGACCCATGTCAGCAACATTTCACCAAATGAATTGCAGATGCTCTGCAGCGCCTGGCAATTACGTGGTGGAAAGCTGAACTTCCACTCATGCAGGGTTTTACAGGACGGATATCAATCTGCTCCTTTATCAGCTCTGCAGCTTATCACAGCTGCACAGATAGGGAAGGACAAGCGGAGCATGCATGAGACTGGGGCATGGCATGAAGTAGAATAACCAGGCAAACCTCAGTCCAGTAGAAAATGAGTCAAACTTTCTATAGTTCTTTGAAAGAGCATTGCCAGTGGCTGAATTTTATTCTGCAGAAAAGCCAAGATGAAAGCTTCCTTTATTTGTATTGTCAGGGATAATCTAGAACTGGTTCTAGAACTAATTGCTGCATCAGGAGGAACAGTGCTGCAGTTCCTCATCCATCCCCCCTGTGGCACCCACCTGGGGCCACTGGAAGGGACTGGCAGTGCCTGATGGCCTCCTGCTGTTGCAATGCAGATGAGGAATCTCACCAACTGCATTTCTGCGCTTCCAAACAAGTATCCCTCCAAGATGCAGTCCTCCTACCTGCAAGGAGCCATCTATACTCATCGGTGTCTTTGTTGAGATGTTCCTAAAGGCAACCTTCTGCAAAGAAATATGTACCTCCAAATAACACGTAACTCTAAATAAAAGAAGTCTCTGCCAGAACTGTGCTCTCCTGCTTCTTCTCCAGCACTCTACGGTACTCGTACATCACGTCTCAGGCCATGATAACATATTCTGTTTGTTCTGTTTAGCACCAGGAACACAGGTTGTGCAAAAACGTTGTCCCATTCTCAGAGCAGCTCAACACCATGGGTTGGCTGCATCCCTCTGCTTCAGTCCCAGGCTTGCTGAGAGCAGTAAAAGAACCTTGTTGGGTTTGTGAAGCTCAGTAACGTGGCCTTAGGCCAACCACTGAGGCTGAAGTTACAGCCCAGTTGGACCTGAGCGCAACATGGTACAGGGGAAATGCCTTTCCCTTTCAAGCCTTTGGAATCAGTTCATTCCTAGTAAGCAGTTCCTGAGACCATAGGAACTTATGTATGTCAGGACTTTCATTGTCAGATGGATGATTTCACACAGAAAACACTAACTCCCAAAATGTTGCTCCTTGAAAGTTTTCTGGACCTGGCATGCATTTGTCTTTGAATCTCTCACTACTTTCTAGCTTTTCTCTACTTCCCTAGTCATAGTAGTACAAGTGAAAGCTTGTCACTCTACCTTTTCACAAAGGTGTACTCATGAGAGTTTCCTGTACTTCCATTTCTGTCCTAAAATATCAGCAGATCTGCAACTCCTCTTCTGATCACAGGCTCGTGTTTCTGAGTTCTAGGAACAGGCTTTCTGTTTTGCTGCATATAAGGTTCTCCTGCCTTTAGTAACTGGGCACAGAGAAAACAGCCTCAGCAGAGTCAGAGAGAAGGCGAAAAGCTGAGAGGTGGTTCCTGGGCATCCTCTGCTGGCATGCCTCAGGGGCTTACATCTGGTACACGAGGTGTTATGGAGATCCAGCTAGGTTATGCACACTCATCCAAAGCCTGATCTGCCTTGCATACGAGTCCCTCGTAGTTCTTTCGCACCCAGCATTGGCCCACTCTTGCACTGGCCCCTGCAGGAGACTGTTGCTGCCTTCAGGAACCCAGCTGTGTACTTGCACACTTCATCACGTTGGAGGAAGAAAACAACAGAATTCATGCTCTAAATTGTACCATTTGGAGATCCCAAGGATTTAGACGGGATGGTTAAGCCAAGCATCCTGAACTCCTAGTCAGATTGATGATACAAGACACCATCCGTGTCAGCTCGAAACTGCATTCTAGATCACAATCAGTGACGACGCATTTGAACCAACTTTTGATGCAATCTTTCAAGAAAAGAAAAAAACCCACACCAGCATCCGCAAAAAACCAGAGGAGAACCACTGACGCAAAAGTCATGGTACTTAAACACCACCTAGCTGTCCCCATCCACAGCTCTCCAGCCAACAAGCAGCTTGAACACCAGCATCTCACAAGACTCCTGCTGCCTGAGCCACCATGGAACGCCGAGCAGGTGGGTGCAACTTAGCCTTGCTGCACAGCTACAATGGGTGATGCTCCTCCTTCACTCTGGTGCTTGAAGTCCGTATGCTCCAGAACGCTCGTGTGGTGCACAAAACCAGTGAGTTTTGCAAAAATGATGTAGAGGTTTGAGACTGTACTCAGTGTACTGTTTTTTTTCCTCTTCTTCAATTGATTGCAGAAATCACATTTGCGATCTTCCTCTTCTGTTCTCTGGCTTCTTTGGTCTCCTTGGCACCAAGAGCTGCCTCAGAAGAAGGGAAAACTACTATGGGACAGAGGCAGAAGCAATATACTACCAGCATAAAGCCCCTTCTAGTCCTCGAAAAGCGAGCAACTACCTTGTTCAAAAACTACGTAAGTGTACTATTTTGCATTTTCTGGGCCTATGACTGCAGAGGAATCCCTTGAATTATTCTAAAATAGTAATAGAAAGACCAGCTTAAAATAAATATTTGGGTTAGAACCTGAAAGAGGCACCTCCCAATAGCCCATATAAGGAGGAAGGCATTTATATCACATTACCTTACGATCGAGTTGGAGCACTGTCTAGGATGGTTAGGCAGCTCTCACCTTCCAGATTCATGCATTTTTCATCATCTCCTAATTCACACTGAGCTTGAAGCAGGCAGCTTTGTGGATGAAACCAGTGTCAGTGCTCAGTCAGATCACGGGGTAGACAGAGAGGACTGCCTTACTCTTCAGTTTGACCATAATGCTAGGGCAGCCAGGTGCACTTCTGAAAAAAATCCTGCTCAGCCTTTCCTTGGAGACAGCAAAAACACGAACTGAATCGAAGGATCAGTGCTGAAGGCAAGTTTCAATTCCTGAGAACGTGTTCCCAGGAATGCACTGATAAAAAATCAGCGTAAAACACTTCCCCTGAATTCATTCTTGAAATCTAAACCTTTTCTGCTAAAACAGATAAAAACACTGTCAAAGCATGATGAAATTTTACCTGTGTGACAACAACAAAAAGACTTAGAAGTGCCAAAAACCATGACAAGTAGATTATTAAGATAGAAAGTGCTGCACGGTCACAGATAGTGTGCAAGACTTACAGGACAGTAGGTGTTATAAAGCTATTGAACAATAACAACAGAACCTCAAGCAGACACAACTGAATACTCCTAGATAGTCTAACATGGAAACTACCAGGAAAGATGGAAACCAAAAGAATAACGGTCTCTCTTCCTCCCCTGCAGAATGGATGCAGTCCTATAACAGAAGCAACCAAAACCTGGCTAACTGCTGACACCCAAGTCAATGAAATGATGAAGAAAATACCCACATGCCCAGCTGCGGAAGCAGACTGCTGCATGCACACATTTTACAATGTTTTAGAAACCCTAAGAAGTGATATAGAAATGATTTGTGGTAAGAATTTCACTGCCTTTGTGAACGTAAACACCATCCAGTTGAACATGACGCTGCTTGAAAGAGATGCGCTTCACAGCTGCAAGAACAAGGACCTTCTGCTGAGCATTCGCAACGACATCCAGGCAATGAGAACAGCACAGAAGAAGATGTACATCTGGAGGGTTTTGGAGAAATATGAACAGTTTATGCAAAACACAACAAAAACCTACAGTTCAGGAGCAATGTAATATGTCAGCATGACAAAATACCTGCAGGATCCTAGAGCTTTGCTGTGTGACCGTCCATCATTTACGATCAGTTTGATGCCAGGAACAATGCTAACAATGTACTGCTCTCCTATTCATAGCTATATGATCTAGTTTAATATTTAAAAGATGAATGACTTAAGTTATTGATTTTATTTATTATAAAACTATTTATACTGTTATATTTGCAACATCATGTAAAAAGAGTGCACTGATGTAAGCCAGAGTGATTTAATTAACTGGTTATTATGTTAATAACAAACAGGGAAGTGTGATTTCAGTGATTTTAATGTTATTTATATTTTTATCTTGCAATTATTTCCAAGAGAAGGAAATGATTACCAGCAGACTTCTGTACTTCTCATTACCGGCGAGAATTTATGAATGCATGGAATACATTTTTGTATTTAAGCAATTTATTTAAGCATTTTTATAGTTTATATTTATTCAGATTTTTAATGTTTATACTTTAATGCTTGGAAGGGTTGAATGAGATTCTTACAACTTAGGTGAACAGTTTTACTCATCTTCTATATATTTGGATAAAACCTGGCATTGAATTAAAATGAGATTAAATAAAACTTATATTGCTAATTCTTCATTAAATAATTCTTTTCTTTTTCCAGCATTTTGAATGTTGAATGCCCAAGGTTTTATTAAATAGCAAACTGAAGTAGTTGCTTCTAGTTATTACATCAAAAACTTTAGAAATAGTGTATCTCCTCCTTCCTCATCCACTATTTGTTGATAGATGTGAAGATCACAGCAGCTTTTCTCCTTAAGCTCCCAATTGGTTTCCTAGATTTGGATCCATCAGTGGGTAAATTCAGCTCTCACTGCTCAAGGCTGAATTACTGTGCCTCCTGCATACCAGTGCAGGTTTGCAGCAGCAGGGCTGGAAAAGCATGGAGCCCATGGAAACACGCTGCGGGCAGCTCAGACACGAGCACTGCACCAAAACTGAGCCAATGACTGCTCCTGGCAGTGGACACTCTGATGCCCTGGGAGCAACAAGACTTGTCAGAACCTAGTTTTGCCTTTAGGTCATATCAACTCCTAATCATTGGCAATAATGGGGAGGTTAATAATGTTTTGATTGAAGTTCAAATTACCACACAAATTTCAAGTCTAAGTATTAGAATCAGTTCAAAATTAACATTATTTTTATATATATATACGTGTACACATTAAATTGACTTGAAACTCAACTATTTAAAACCCAAATAAAAGGATCACTTCTCTCACCATCCCCCACTGACCCAACCCAGCACTGACAGCTCCACAGCACTCCAATTTCTGCTCTCAGCATCCAGACTTTGTAGGAAGTGGGTAAAGGGCAGGCAGCAGGACTTAGGGATGTGATGGAGCAACCTTTGGTGGGTTTGCTTGTATTTTAAGTGATGCTCAGGGTTTGTGATACACACACCTTGTTCTGAGAGAGCTGGTGTTCCTACACTTGCCTGTCACCCAAGTATTCATTGCCTGCACACTTCCTGGTGATGAACAGTCTTCAGGAAGAGCAGCTTGTGTTCAAGAAGAGCTGTAGGAAAGGTCCTGTGATTCTAGTGAGCACTGGCTTCTGTTTCTTTTGCCAAGATTCAATCAACTAGTGCTAGGAGAAAACAAAATTTGCCAGAGATGCATTACAAGACATGTTTAGGAAAGTACATGGGATTACAGGACACGTGAAGAGAGACCTATGCTGTTTTCCCACTGAAGTGCCAACTCCCTCATAGCAGTGATTTCTTTCAGAATAATTTGCTTAAAGCAGATACAAGTCTACTTGTTCGTGCTGTTCAAGAATTAGCAAAATCAGCTATTTCAGTAACCATTACTTTTGGCATATCAGCTACCTCTAATAGCGGCCTTGCTGAAATCACCACAAAATCAGTAGTAAAGAAACAGTGCTCTCCAGCCACAGCTTCCTCCCAGAGGTCTGATAGCACCGCTGCAGTACCACTGGCATTGGTATGCTTGGCCAAGAGCGAAGTCAGGCTGAAATGTGGTTTTCTCACTGCTTAAACACACTGTTCTTCACTGCCTTCTACTAAAATGCTTTGTGCGAGATCAATTTAGCGATATTAAAAAAGCAAATGTGAACCCAGTAAGAAAGCTGCAGTATATTCTCCTGAAATCACAGGCTTGACTCATCAGAATTTCAAACTATATTAAGTTCAAAGTCACCAGTTCTGAGAGGGACATTAACCAGCATCGAGCCTTCAGCAACGATTTTAAAATAAAATCCCTGTTCTCAATCAACTGAAGCATCCTACCAGGGAAAGAAAACAAACCACCAACTCAAGAAACAGACTTTAAAGGAAATGGTGAAATATTATTTTTCTTCTTTGTTTTTACATAGATTTACAAGATTTAAGCAGCTTAATGCCTAACACTGACATCAGTTCCATGGGAATACCATGTTGTCCAACCTCAGCACTGCTCAGCAGAGTCCACTGTCCAGGCATTAAGCCAATCAAGAGGCCGAAATCCAATCCTGCAAGAAAATAAGAGCATCAGGGCTCAAGGTGTTGGTACAGTACCTACAGACTTAAGTTTTAATTTTCTTAGAGAAACACCAAGGCTACTTTTGAATGACTAACCTCTAAGTTGAAAGCAGACACATAAGTAAGTAGATTTCTGTCTGTTTAATTTTATCATGAGAGCCCATTCTCACTGTTCCACTTAATATAATCAACAGCAATCAAGATCAGTGTCTGTTCACTCTATAAATTTGGGGAATAATGTCATGTAAAACGTGGAAGAACAGACTCACTGTTATAAGGTGAAGAAACGTATGCTCTGCAGACAGATTTGGGGAAGAAGTACTGAAGCCTTGCTCTTCTGTGATTTCTAACCTACAGAGGATAATTTTCAGTTTTTGTTCATCTGACTGTTGCTTTGGTGAGACAAGGAATAAGCAGCACAGAGCAAATACAGCCTGATTACCAATGCATTAGAAAAGACAAATCATTTGTGCCCATGAGAGTGAGCCAATTCTTACAGCCAAGAAGGACCCAAGGGGCACAAGCCTTAAAAAGTCTCCAAGCTTCAAAAGATGACCAGCAGATACAAGTCTTGCAAAGGGGAACACAAATACAGGGATCCCAAAGGGGTCACTTCAGCACAGCTAGTGTTGAAATGAGCCTTTGTCACCGTTTGGAGTTGCAAAAGGGATGCCAAGGTCCTGGTCCAGGAAGGCTTCCACTTCCCATTTCCCCACTTCCAAGTCGAGTTCAGGTAAAAAAAAATGAAGACATGACAACTAATTTCTTCCAAAAAATAACCTTTATTGTTTTTATCGTAAATATAAAAAATGCATTGCACAATATAACAGACCTACTGAAAAGTGCTACATATCAACAGCACAACAGATGTTGTGTCATGCAACAGAACAGGAAACCTAGGCAAAGCAAAAGTACAACCTGAAGTCCTCAAACCTCCAAGCTTTTTTTTTTTTTTTTTTTTTGAACAAGAATGAACTCCATTCACTTAAATACATTTAAATACAAGATTAGAAGAAAATAAACAATTTGCTCATTATGTTGTTAAGAGGATTATTCCTAACCGGTATCTTTTGATTCAAAATTCTATTCATGTTGGAAATGTTCAGATATAAAAGCAAATCAGACAGTGGCTAGAAAGTCTAAAGTCTATTACATACCTGGGTGTATTTCCTTGCAATTGAATCAAGTTTTACAGATCAACC